AGAGAAGAGAAGAGAAGAGAAGAGAAGAGAAGAGAAGAGAAGAGAAGAGAAGAGAAGAGAAGATCCAAACTGAAGTCAGGAACTCACACTTAATATGTAGTGTAATTCCTGAGACTTCTGAGATTTCTTGTAAGTGGAGCCAGCCTAGAGCGCTGTGAATTGCATGACACCATACTTGAACCACCTTATGGCCTGGGAAAGCGTAAAGCTGACGCTTTCATTTTTCTGAAGACATTAAAAACTATGAAATGACAGGAAAGTTTATACTGGAAATACAAAGAACAACGGTTGACATATTCTTGTAAAAATACTCTTCCAGACACTGAAAGAGCAGAAGGGAAACTATCTTTTGACCACCTTTAATAACATCTTGATTAGATTTAAATCAACCTGGGCTTGTTTTAAAGATTTGACAAATGGTCTAATGAAGTTTCCCTCTTTTGCCTATTAATTTTCTGATCTGTCCTTACAGATTAATATTCTCTAAGCCCCACTGGTTTGCTGCTGCTGCTGCTGCTGCTGCTGCTGCTGCTGTTATTGTTGTGGTTTTGACAGCAAACATGCAGACATTCTGACAGCTCAACATGGGGGGAGAAAACAATTCATTAGGTGCTGTAGTAAAAATACCGTGCTTATGAAATGCTGTCCAAGGTACTATCATTGCATTATATTAATGTAGTAAAGTATAGAGGGGCACTGTCTTTCAACACAACATACAGAAAGATGTTTGTGTATATAATTTAATGGTCCTAAGAGCCAGGGATATCATGTACTATCATCCAGTTGCCTCTTGAACAGCCAAAAGGCACAAAGTCTTGCAAATCCTCCAAAAACTGCATTTTGGAATTGTTCTTTCGTTGTTTTAGGAAAATCCACTGACAAATAACATTTAATAGTTATGCTGAAAAATACTGATTTCACTTAGTTATGTTTGAGCCTTGACGGTATTTTTCATGCCCAGACATAGTTTTCAGTCATGAGCTGTACCTGTTTAATTTATTTTTCTTTATTAAAAATCAGTGGATTACTAGCCTACCTTGTTGTTAGCAAATGAAAGAAAGCCAAATTTTCCTCCTTAGATATATGAATAACATGTAGATATCCTACAAGGTTTACCTACCTATTAGCTGCCTCTTCAAAAGCACTATTTGTATTAGAATATAGCACCCAAGTTGACACTGCTTGGGTGCCATTCCCGGGTTTTTAATGTGTACCTTAATAAAGATGAAGACGCAGGAATCCTTCCTCAATAATCACTTTGTACATTTATGGGAGATAAGTGTCAAAACAGTACAGAATATCCATCCATCCATCTGTCCGTCCATCCATCCTTTTAAGACATTCATAGCTGCATCTATGCACCACAAATGCAGGGACTCATAAAAGCGAACAGTTTAAGTTATATGGAGTTGTGTATATCATTTTGCTGAGCACAAAACACAAAGATTTGCATATCTGTTCAAAATGTCTAACACTATTCAAGACAATTATGCATTCCATATGGACCAACTGATACTAAACACAGAGCAGCCCCACTCCTCATTCAGCCAGCCTGACCACTGTGCCAAGGGAGGGATAAATGACTTTCCAGCACCATCATTTATCCTGAGTGGCTGTAATACTCTTTTGCTATTAGCTCCAGGAAAGCCAGACGGCACCATGGCATGGATTCCATGAAAAGCACTCTGGCACAATCCCTATGAGGTTCATACCAGCTGCCTTCTGAACTGGGAAAGGAACAGATCTAAGATCTAAGCTATGCAGATCATTAACTGCTGTGTGGGTGCTTCTCTGAGCATATGCGATCATGACGAGGGGGGGAAGGTCAGCTACAAGGGAGAGTGAAAAAAATAGGTGTCAGGTAGCAAGTCGTGGTAGCCTCCAAAACCCCAATTTGATTTAGAGTCACTTTAACCTCAGAATTCTTTAGAAACCATGATACGCCCAACAATTTACAAAAAGCAAACCTAATTGTGATAAGACTGCTTAACAACCTGTCATCATCTTTCATATCCATATGCAAACAAATTATTTTACAGTTTTAAAATTACTACACACTGTTAGGAATTGCAATAATGCACCTCTCTGCTTATCAGTCTATTATTTTAAAAACACACTTTTCCATTTTATGCTAGCTAACAGCCATCAAATGAGCCTCAGTCACCCATCAAATGATCATTAAATTCTAGTACTTACAAACATGAGGCGTGTAGGTATGTTGTCAGATTCTACCAAAGGATTTTTATACAGCCAGATCTCTTCTGGCTGAATAATTCTCTGGAATGGATCCAAAAACTCTGTAAAACTAAACAAACAATAAAAAGAGTTTTATCATGTATTTGAATGAATTGCAAGACACTCAAAAAGCATTTTAAAAAAGAGATTTTCCCCCTTGTCAAAATTAAACACAGGAAATGGTTCAACTTCCCCACACTTAATCAAAGATAAGTATAGAAAGGGCCATTTTCTTTCCCTATTCCTAGAGCCCAGAGTGAGTTACATATATGTACATGTGTGTGCGCATGTATCAAATCAACCCAACAATCTGACATATCCCTCACCATACTGGTTAGAGAGGTTTTGCTTGTATCACCACTGCCCGAAAACCCATCTTTGAAGTATAATTAACATATAATTAACATTTCAGTATTCTAGAGCTAATTACCTGACTTTATTATAGTGTGAGTTGACTAAGCAGTGAATAGCATCTAGAAGATAAGAGCCTTTTCAGTTATAGCCATTGGAACAATTTACAAACATAAAAACAGCAAAACCATAAAAACACAAAGACTGTTATAAAGCTGGCACATTAACTTGGGGAAGAACATTGTGTGTGTCTGGATATGTTCCTGAACCTTTCCAACCCTCTGACAAGGACACCTCATGTGATTTCTGTTAGTGACATATTGTATTTTGAAAAAAATGCAGAATGTATTTTTGTACTGGTTCAAGCAAGGTTCAGCCATCTACAATATAAACAAAAATAAAATAAAGTTCTGAAAACTAAGCAGTCTTCAGTGTGAGATCTTGGTGATTACAAAATTTTGCAAGGAAGAAAAATCTAGCTATTTGGTTCCCAGACTATTATGCAAGATCATGTATGACATTCAGGGCATGTATAAGATACAAGAACATGCATCAATTACATCAGTGAACCTTAAAATAATGAATGTATGAACTTCAGGTTTACTCAACAGTTTTATAGTATTCACACTTTTTAGAAAGGATACTTAAACCGCCACTTATATCCTGAATCTGTTGGGTTCCTATCCACTCTTGTAGCAGGTCCTCACTAGCAAGACTTCTTTCTTATAAAAAATCCATTTCTCCTGCCTTTCCAATTTGCCCCAAAAGTGCTGTTTCCCATGAGCAAAATGTTCTTCTGCTACTGTAGGGGCATGCTTGGATATAAGCAATTTTATTTAAGAAGCAAGCAAAGAGCAATGAGCAATTAGTAAACCTAATATTTTTTCCTTTTAAAAAAAGAACTGAATATCTGAACCTTGGATGAATGAAACAGAGCATCATAGGAGGAGGAAGAAGAGAGTAGAAAGGAAAATGGAGCTGTCAAATTAAGTAATACCTATTCAGAAATTTAATTTAATGTAGGATTCACTTTAAAATACTACACTCAGCTCACTATAAAATTGCACATTATATTTTATATATATTAAGCAGGTGGTCCTTTCACTTTTAATTTTTTTTAACTTTCCATTAAGAGCAGAGTCTCTAATCAGTACTACTAGGTGCCGGTTGGGGAAGCTTAAGTTTTTACTTCGGAATTGTTCCTCTGTTCTGTGAGTTAAAAGATAATTTTTCGAAAATCTCCATTGAAAATGGACCCTGATTTTTATTCTTAATGTTGAAAAATGAAGTGAAATTCAGCTGCACACTGTATAACGTGTAAACCACCAGGAGTCTTTTTGACTGTATATGAGTATAAATCCAATCAATCATCTGCAGTGTAACTTCCATAGCTAGTGTTGGTGATTTTTTTGTAACTTCATCTCTCAGTCACAGTACAGTTTCAAATCTGTATATACAATATAGTATTATCTTATGAAAGTAACAAATGCCATTGTACATCAAGAAAATATTTCATACTGCAAGCTACAGAGCTGACCAAAGACATCTGTGGTCTCAAACAAAAGGAAATATAAAGCAGACACCAAGAGTGAGGAACTATGGCTCTCCAGATGTTCCAGATGAAGGTACCTGTAGCAGCCTCTCATAAATCACATGATGTTGTAACTGTGGCCTGCAATTGCAAGCTGTTTTGATATATCCTTGTACCAGTGGCATCCATGGAGACAGAAATGTCATTTCAAGGCAGTGACCTTCAATAACTAAAATCTCTTTCTGCCTTATGTTCAAAGGGGCAGTGTGCTCTCACTAAAGATAGCATTACTATGTAAAGGAGCTCAAGTGCAGAATTGCCAGCATGCCAGCATTAAGGGTAGGGAATGTAATTGAAGACTGCCAGCATGGGCAGTACACGATATAGGAAACTACTAGCAATTTATTGTCTTTTGTTTTTGTGAAGAGAAGAAGAAACATGTGTTTAGCACAGACCTGGGGTGAAGCATTCAGTTACTGGTTGACAAGCAAGCACTAATTGGCTGACAGTTCTCTATGATCAGTTACTGGCCAGAAAGGGCAAACACTAATTGGCAGGCATTTTCTGTAAGCTCTAGACTTGTAAATAATATAAACATATCATGTGCTTGTAGTGTCCTGATATCCTAATAGATCTGAAGTGGGGGAAAAAGCCCAGAACAATCTTGTTTGTGTTTAAATTGGATTCTTGAGTTGTTTAGATTAGATTCAGGAAGATTGAGAGAAGAAAAGGCTGATCATCTGGAACACCCAGATGTTGCTGAAAGCCGACACAGCATAGCCAATAGTAAGAGATGCCGGAAATTATAGTTCAACAATGTCTGGGAAGTCCAGATTCTCTATCGTATTCACAAAAGCACTCAAGTGCAGAAATTGAACATACTGGCAGTTGAGGATTCAATGCTAGAGCAATGGAACCATATTCTCACTACTTCTAAAACCAGGCCAAATGGCATACCCACTGCCTTATTCTCCCACATCTCCCTATCACTACCTCACTATCTGCTTCCTAAGGGTGAGAGCAGCTGGGTGGGAACAATGATATTACCACTCTCCCTGGGCTTTCATTTGCTGGTGCTTTTCTCTGCTTCATGATAGTATAAACTCTGCTTATTCAAATGTAGTAATTAACCAAGGAGCTTCTGTCCCAGGGCCTGGAAGCTGTAGGGGCCTGGATGGGGTGCAAAAGCTTCAGCTGAACCCTAGCAAGACTGAGTAGCATTGGGATTTTGGACCTCCTGGTACCAGTGACTTGCCATCTTTGGTTCTGGATGGGGTTGCACTGCCTCAAACAGAACTAGGAGGCAATCTGGGGTCCTGCAGGACCCACAGCTCCTGCTCGAGGACATGGTAGCCGTGGCTAGGAGGGCCTATGCACAGCTTTGAGCTATGTGCCAGTTGCACCTGTTCCTGGATTAGGAGGCCCCTCATAGTCACTCATGCCCTAGTGACCTCTACATTGGAATACTGTATATGGGGTTGTATACAGGGCTGCCCTTGAAGAGCATTTAGAAGCTGCAGCTGGTGTAGAATGACTAAGGCCCTGAAGACTTGGCTCTGTGCTTGAGCCTGGGGCCCCAGATGTGTGAGGGAGCCTATTTCCTGATTATGTTGGTTGCTGTTTATAGTTCTTGGCTGCTATGAGTTTTATGTTTTTATATGTTTTTATTATTTTAATGTAAGCCACCCAGACTCATATATTTGAGATGGGCAGCTATATAAATCTATAAATACATACATACATACATACATACATACATACATACATTGATTTGACTGTAGAATATATTCTTTATTTCAACTGGAAAAAAGAATTATGTATCCTAGAGTAAACTCTCATTCCCATAAATACCAGGCAGTCTCTTCCTTCCCACCCTGTTTTCACCAGACTTGACAGTTTGACAAGCAGTAAGTATTTTTACAGCATTAAAGGCTGGCACCATTAGTAATGTAGCTGCAATGTAATATGGCTGAGTTAAGAGTATACATATTAAAATATCAATGCAGAGTCACCAGATTATGTTTCCAATGTAGTAATCAAGCCCTGAAAACCTTATGCTCCCTACTTGACTTGGCAGGGATCTCTTTTCTTTGCCCTTGTAGTTTGGGTGCAGTGGACAATGCCTCTGAGATTGTCTTTTTCTCATCTTTAAGTATTCATATACATTACATATGAATATATATAATTAACAGGAGGGTTCTTCCAGTCACAGCTCACAGCTTCTCAAACGCTTTAGCCGTAACTTCTCTCATTTTACATTCTAGAAGCACTTCACACATTACACAGAATGAATATAGGTCTGTGCTGAGGAGATATTTCATCCAATCTGAAGTTCCTGTAAAACGTACTGTGCAATTATGGTGTTTGCAAATACATTAGTCACATTCAAGGATGAGATCAGAGTTCTGTAACATAGTGCCTGGTTATCTCTAAAGTTAATGAAAAATACATACATACATACATACATACATACATACATTAGATGGCCAAGATCTTGTAAGCCAGCTAAATCACACAATATTTCTTGTTTTTCACATGCACTTTCTCAAGATTTTGGTCCTTTTACATTTCTAGTTTTTATTCTCACATCAGCATGTCTGCCATGTGAAAAGATTGATGAGTTTTAGATATACACTGTTTTAGGTACACACTGAAAAAGGTATGCTAGGTAGGTTTAAAATATTATCTCCTGGAAATTGAAGGTTCTATGTTCAGACCACACCTGAAATCCTACAAATCATTTTCAGAATAGTTATTTTTGGAAAACTGCTGGAAAAGCCCTGGAATGGCTGAAGAATGAATTGAATGTTTCTGAGTTCTCCAGAACTCTCAATTTCCTGAAAGTGACATTTCATATATATCTAGTATATACTTTGGCCCTTAGTAGTTTTGTTGTGCTACCACAGGATATTACACATATTTTCATTTCCACTGCAAGTGTTATAAAATAAAAACCCATAAAGCATAAAATATTCTTAAAAGAGCAGGTAAACCATTCAGTGTGTCTCTAGTATATTGTTCATTCCTGATTAATAGTGTGGCAGACACATACACTTTAAAATCATATTGACTTGTCATACTTGTGTCTGACAGGGCAATTTATATTGATAGTATAATGTTACCATTCTTAAAGGTAAGACAAATAACAGTGAAAAACACCGTGCAGATCTATTTTGGCAAAGACACAA